TAAAGTCATTTCCACATGAGTTCGATTCCTGCTTGCCCCGGAGGTGACCACATGGTGTGGCAGACCTCTCCTGACCCGCCCGCTGCTCCCCTCAGCAGTGTACTTCGTCGATCTGCCTGTTCTGCTCCTCACTCTGTCTCTGGTGAAGCCTCTCACCGCCCCTGAGCCTCTGGCCTGTACCCCAGTTCTGTATGCATAAATAAATAAATCTTTAAAAAAAAATTAAAAAAAAAATATCAAAATGGGGGCCCTCCCTGGTTGTGCAGCGGGTTAAAGAAGCTTAAGCCACTTCCGCATGAGTTCGATTCCTGCCTGTCCCGGAGGAGATCCACATGGCGTGGCAGACCTCTCCTGGCCCGCCCACTGCTCCCCTCAGCAGTGTACTTGGTCGATCTGCCTGCTCTGCTCCCCACTCTGTCCCTGGTGAATCCTCTCACCCTCCGCATCTCTAGCCTGTACCCCAGTTCTGTATGAATAAATAAATCTTAAAAAAAAAAAATCAAAATGGGCCCTTCCTGATGGTGCAGCAGGTTAGGACACAGCCCTGCAAGCAAGCCTCAGCCACTTCAGTACGAGTTCGATCACTGCCCCTGGAGGCGATCCATATGGCACAGCAGACCTCTCTTGACCCGCCCACTGCTCCCCTCACCCATGCACTTTGTTGATCTGCCTGTTCTACTCCCCACTCTGTCTCTGGTGAAGCCTCTCATCGCCCCTGCACCTCTGGCTTATACCCCAGTTCTATATGCATAAATAATAAATAAATTTCTTAAAATATATATCAAAGTGGCTACCTCCTAAGAAATGATATGCAGCACACAACAGGTCAGAACACAACAATCTTGAATGGTTGTTAAATGAAAGTAAAAAGAACTGAATCATCTGCTTCTGTAATTTCTTGCAATTAATTGTGGTCATAGGTATTCTTCCAAAATATATAGTATTTATGTTAGAAAGAATGGAAACCTTGAAGCAAGAATGCATGATGCCTGTATAGGTATTATATTTAAAATTGCACTTAAGGAAGGAAAACGAAATGTCATGATAGAAAGAGACCTATACAAGGGATGGAGCAAGTTTGGGGCAGTCTACAGTTAACCAATGACAGAGAGGTCAGAACTTCAATGTCCTTGGAATTCAAACCTGCAAAGTCAAGACTCCCATAACTGATGTGCTGTACTTCTAGATTTCTGAGTCCTTAAGTGTTGAGTCATGTACCCAAGAAACACAATGGGTAGATTTAAGAAATGTGTCTTGACTTGCTTAAGTACAAATGGAAATACAAAGATAGGTCAATCACAAAACAGAAAAGGCAGTTAAAGGAGACACTTCTAAGAAAAACAGACTCTTCCATAAGTACTTTTTTTTAAGTCTCCAGATTATCTTGAATTTTTCGTGGGCAACAAGAGCAAAAGTTAAGGAAAGTAACCTCCTTAAACTAAATACATTATTTCCATATCTTATTGTATTGGCTAAGCCATTATTACAATAGATCTGGCGATCAACATCTCTGAGAGATGCTGTAAGATGATTCTACCTCCTACTAGCCCTCACTCCTGGGGTATGTTGGAGCCACCATGCACCAGCTCATATCAGTTCTTAAGTACCATTTCTCTGTTCCAACTCTACAATCAATAGCATCTAATTGGTAGCTTAAAATTGGCAGAGGGAATATTTGTCTCACAGAAATTTGCACATGCTACATACAAAACAAGTATTTCTTTTTATTTGGATATTCAATTGCTAAACAATTACCTACATACAAATGACACATGCTTTCAACTTCTAAGAACTTGTTCCCATATTCTATGAGATAAGAAAAGAAAATAATACCTTTTCCACCTTTCGGGTCTCAAAATATAGGGCTTTGTTATAAAAGTAACGGTTACTTCTTTTTAATTGTTGTAATATGGGTCCCAGTCAGACTTAAGCATGAAAGGGACTATGAAGCAAAAGAATAATGGTAGAATAAGCAGAACTATTTAGCATGTATGTATAAGTAACATGTGGCAGTGCTGAAAATAAAATATGAAGTTTAAAAAAATGCTCAATTGCCTATATGTAGAAAACACTCTAAAAGTTTAAAAAATATAGTAAATCATGAATTGCTTGTATCTTGTCAGTGACTCCATTACACAAAGAATAAAATTTACCTTGTTATATTGGCCTTCATGTTGCAGAGTATAATTTAACTCCTGTTTGTATTCAACCACATTTTCTATAGCATCTATTCACTCTCTCTCACGCTTTCCTTTCTCCAGTTTCTCTGACCTTTTTGCAGATTGTCTTGTTCACCAAACTCATTCCCAACCTCAGTATCTTTGTATCACTCAGCTGACTGGGACACCACCTTCCCAATTATACATCCCTTTTTCCCACCTCTTTTCCTCCATCCTTCCCTCCTCCTTCCTTCCTTTCCTTACTTTCTTCCTCCCTTCTTTCTCTCCTTTGCCTCATTATTTTTCTCCCCATTTCATAGAAAATTATTCTATGATCATTCCATATAAAGTGCGACACTTACCCTGCAGTTACTGTATATCCCATTATCACTTTTCTTTACTTCTACTTTGTTCTTGTCTTAAACTGCCTATATATGAATCTTTTAACTTCCATTTATTCCTATTAATGAGTATAGTATTCAAGAAAACAGGCACCTGTCAGCTCTTACTCATTGATGGATATTTTGTCCCCTTAATAGTCAGAAAAACTGACTACAAGAAAGGAAGATAGGTGGGAAGAAATATTATATTGTGGCCATGACTTAAGGCGGTTAAGTTACTGATATATTCAAAATTTCATCAATAGGCATCCTTATCTATTAAGAAGTTCTCCTTCTTGGACTATAATGACAGCATGAAAGGAAAGTTCCACTAACCAAAGACAAACTATCTGCAAATACACAGCTCTGTTTTCAGGCATGGCTATTTGTGGGAGCCTACTCATGGCCATATGCAAGGTTAAAACATATTAAAACATTAATGCTCGCACTCTAAAAGAGAAAGACAGAATATTTACCCAAATCCTTTATTTGTAGTCAAATCTATTTTATGTATATATAACATATATTGGTCTAGTGCTTGGCACTTGAGCTTGAATGTAATGGATGGTGAATAAGGAATAAATAGTATTTATTTCTCTAAAGGAATAGCAGAGACCAAGGTTTTTTGGTTATATTCTTTTTGGTAGGTCATAATGAGTAATTTGATGTTCAGTTCATTTTTAAAGCACAATCTCAACATCTAGTTTGTTCAAAGACAATTGGTTTCTGAGATGACTGCTGATAAATCTAGGATAGATTCAGAATTTTTTTTTAATATTTATTTATTTATTTGTACAGAACTGGGGTACAGGCCAGAGATGTGGAGGGTGAGAGGATTCACCAGAGACAGAGTGGGGAGCAGAACAGGCAGATCGACGAAGCACACTGCTGAGGGGAGCAGCGGGTGGGTCAGGAGAGGTCTGCCACACCATGTGGTCACCTCCAGGGCAGGCGGGAATCGAACTCATGCGGAAGTGGCTTTAGCTTCTCAGTGAAGTGCTTTAACCCGCTGCGCCACCAGGGAGGGCCCAGATTCAGAATATTTTTGTGTTAACCAAAATTAATTTAGTCACTGGGAGAATATCAAAATATATTTTGTAAGTCTTTTTGAGGTGTTATTTCACTGGGCTCTATGTATTTCGTTATTTTTATTCCTGTGGCGTATTGTATGTGCAGTATATAACCTGACTCTGTCTCCTGTCATAAAAATGTAATTTTGTATTTAAGGATATTGTAACGAGAAAATGAAAGACAGTCACACAAACATATATGTGGCTATAAAGATGCCAATAAACATTACTTGCCAAACACAATTTTGGTTTAAAAGAGAAGTTATAAAAGCAAGATATTTTTAAAATAATTAAGGAAATTTCAGTCAGAATTTTTCAATTTCTATATTACTTAGAATAAAACAAAGCAATTTCTAATATTTTGGGGGCTCCATTTGAGGGAAAAGCAGCATTTTGCTATATATAATGCTCTTTGGAATATCACAATGTTCTATAGCATTGACGATTATGAAGTTTAGTAAGGTTCTGGTCTATTTACAAATATCTTGGACATTCTTGAGCACAATAAAATGTTATAATGACAGAAGTCCTATAATTCTCTTTCAAAGCCTCATTAAATGTTTTGGACAATGGGTACTATGGAAGGAAATTAAAGCAACCATCACAGCATGCTGTTGTGAAGGAACTGACATATCTCAAATTTAATTTTTCTTGAAATTAGTATCTATTGAGAAATAGGACTATCTCTTTCTGCAAGGTCATCCTACCCAAACACTTAATAGCGAATTAATGATTACTTTATCAGCAGACTGAACATTTATTTTGCATTTGAAAGATGATGTAAGGATAACAATCACCACTAGCTATTTGAGATGTAGAATACCTGTAGAATAAAATAAATCCACAAAATTACCCTAGTTCCTCCTGCTGGGAATTGTGGCTGTGGTGGGGAGTGGGGGATTGGAGGGGGGAGGTGGTATGCTGACAGTGGACACAGAATCTAGCAGGGGTTAAGAGAAAAATACCAGAGACAAAATAAAAGATCTGCTTTAGGCACTCACTCAGTCATTCCACTATAAAATTATTGATATGTTAAAATATATATGTACTATGACAAAAGAAGCAACTATATAACTTTTCCCAAAAATAATTAAAACGTAAAGTAGTAAATATGTAAATATCAGTACTCATTAATGCAATACTTCTTTTTGGATGTACTTTGCTCCAGAAGATACATATTTAATATTCATGTAAAGTGCTTTTTTGGTATTAGGTCAGTTTCTTCTCAATGAAGAGCCCTTTGATGAAACAGAGTAGAACTTCCTTTTCCCTTTAAGTAGAAAGCTGCCTACTTATTCAGTGTCCTTTCTGTCACATTAAAGAACAGGGAACTTTTTATTCTTCCCAAGAATAGCCTTTCAGATTCAGTAACAACATGTTCTATTCCTCAGGAAATAAAAGAAGATCGAGATAGGGCGCGGCTGGATTCCATGGTGCTGCTAATTATGAAACTGGACCAACTCGATCAGGACATTGAGAATGCTCTCAGCACCAGCTCCTCTCCATCCAGCACCCCAACAAACCTGCGGCGCCATGTTCCTGTGAGCTTTCCACTTTGCCTATTATTTCACAGTCTTGCAAGTGAAACATCCTTGATAGTAACATCTACCTATATCTGACCCTAGTAGTGTTCCATAAAATGATTCAGATAATTCAGAGATTTAAATAAAAATGGTTACTAATAAAGAGGATCACCTTGGGAGTTTATTATTCCTAGTGATCACATCCTCTTCATTGTGCCTATTTCTCTAATTGTCAGTCATCAACAATATGCTATAAATGCATTGCCAAAACTAAGTCTATCTTAGTTGATATTTTATTTCCAGTGTCCCACAAATTTACATTGCATGCAGAAGATGCTTATTAAATATTTTCTGCATGGCTGGATGGAAGGAAGGATGGATGAATGGTTGGATGGAAAGGTGAGTGGGTGGACAAATGGATGAATGAAAGTGTGGGTGGGTGGAAGAGTGGGTGGGTGGGTGGATGGATGGATAGATGGATGATTGAATGTATACCAGCTGAATTAACTCAGTACAATACAATAAAGAACTGAGATGACAAATTAGCTTGAACTTCAAATTCACTCTGAAATACAGTAAGTAGGACAGAGGTATTTATTTTTTACTATTTATTAATTTTATGAAGGCAGAGACTCTTAGATTCTGACATTTATTTTAAAATAAATGAGTAATTTATTGAGTTATTTTATTTTAAAAATATTGAGTTTATTTTAAAATAAAGTTTGGGAGGCTCAGGTTCAAGGCTTACCTGTACCCTTTACATATTTAATATCAACTTTATAATAACTAGGGTGTTAGTTTGTATGCCCTCACAAATTTGATAAGATTTATTTATGTCATGACTACCTTCTTAGTCTACTGCTTTGTAATAAGAAATACATTAAGATCAAGGAGATGGAAAACCTTATATTGAAATCTGAGCACCTACTGTATGAAATTGTTTTATTAATATAGTTCAATTATTAATTCTGAAGGCATTCAAGAATCATTCTGAATATGGGGCAGAATATTGCAAAGTAAATAATCAAATTAACTTGATTCCTTAATTGATAGCTGTTGCTCCATCATCTCTCCACAACCACCTCCTATCTGAAAAATGCATTCATCAGTCAAAGCACACTTAGATTTTTTTCCACCTCTTGAGCAGTGTGAGTAATGCTGCAACCAATATAGGATTTCAGCTATCTCTCTGAGATAATGATTTCAGTTCCTTTATGTAGACACCCAGAATGGGATTACTGAGTCACATAATAGTTCTCTATTTAATTTTTTGAGGAAACTGCACACTGTTTGTTCTAGGAGTGACTGTACCACCAACATAATGTTCTCTTTCTTTAACATCCTCTCCAACACTTATTTTCTCATAATTTTTTTTGCTAGTAGTCATTCTAACTGGTGTAAGGTGATATCTCCTTGCATTTTCCTTATGAACAGTGAATTTGAGTGTCATTTCATGTAACTCTTGGCCATTTATGTGTCTTCTTTGGGAAAATATCTATTGATGTCCTCTACCCATTTTTAATGGTATTGTTGTTTTTTACTATAAAATTATATAGTTCCATATTTTTAAAACATTAACCTCTTAATTGGTATGTGGTTTGTCAATATTTTTTCCCATTTCATAGTTTGACTCCTCATTCTTTTCATTGCTTAATTTGCTGGGCAGAAGCATTTTAATTTTATATATTATACTTGTTTACTTTTAATTTTGTCCTTGTTCTTTTGTTGTGAGACCTAAAAAATTGTTGTTAATATCTGTGTGAAGAAGATTTTCTTCTATATTTTTTTAGGTGTTTTATCACTTCATGTCTTATACTTGAGTAATTTTTATTAGTGATATAAGATAGAGATCATTATCACTATCTCTATCTTAATTTTTATGAGTGATATAAGATAGAGATCACTATCTTCAGTTTCATTCTTATACATCTAAATATCAAGTTTTCCCAATACCATGTATTGAAAGGTTGTCATTCCTCACTGCATATTCTTAGTGAAATTGTCAAATATTATCTCACTCTATATGCAGAAGTTTATTTATGGACTGCCTATCGTATAGCCTTAGGTTCATATGTCTGTTTTTATACCACTAGCATACTGTTTTAATTGCATTAGGATTATAATATAGTTTGTATTAGGATATGTTATGTTGCTATCTTTGTTCTTCTTCCTCAAGATTTCTTTGGCTGATTGGAGTCTTTTGTAGTTCCAGATGAATTTAGTTTTTCTATTTCTGTGGAAAATGTCAATGGAATTTTCACTGAATATATAGATCACTTCAGATATATTATTAACATTTTAACAATATCTATTCTTACAATTTAAGAACATAAAATATCTTTCCATTACTTTTCCTCTAATTATTTTCACCAATGTCATGAAGCTCTGGACATATTGTAATTATATTCATTTTCAGATGAGGGAACTGAATCCCAAATCATAATTTTCTCCCTTACAGTTTATTAGATTTACAGATACTTGAGCTTAATGACTCCAGGCTATTGTGGTAGGCATCATCATGGAAATGTAGTGAGTACATAGATTGTCTTATCACATGACTTATACATGACCCGATTACAGAGCATTATTAAAAGAGTTGTTAAAGGTTACACAGTCATCACAGGGTGTCTGTAGGCTTCTACTTTCTGACTCTTAACTGAAGTGTCCTTGTTGACACTGTTTATTTACTAAAACAACATGTTACCTCTTATTAGTATTTGCATTCTAAAATTATAACCTCTGAATAGCACAATTTTCATTACAAAACAATGCATGAGTATAGGTGACATGTCAATGTCAGTTGTCAACAAAGTTTTAGTGTGTCAATGTGTTCTGGAAGGACGAGGGAGGAAAAGATACTCATAGCAGGGAGAAAGGAGTTAGGGAGTATTTAAATAGTCTTCATATCAATTCATTTTTTCAAATAGGATCTGGAGTCAGGATCTGAGAGTGGAGCAGATACTACCACAGTAAAGCAGACACAAATAAATTTGTCTTCTAACACTGAGTCTACTGACCTACCATCTTCTACCACCATAGTGGCCAGTTCTGGAACCAAACCCAAGACTATGGTAAGTTTAAAATAACAGTTGGTTTCAACATTATTTATTGATTATCACCAAGTTAGTAGTTGATATTGATCTTGGAGTAATACTACTATTGGAATATAAGTTGCAATGATTTTATTGTATTTAATTAAGTACCACCCAACATATGTTACATGTTGGTATGATAAATAATATGCACTCACTCAAACATAATTATTTCATATTTATTCAAGATATATAGTATTAAATGTATTGCTGGATACTGAGAACTTTAAAGAACAAATACTACAAAATCTGGAGATGGATTTCACTTCGTCATTTTCCCAACCACATAACTAACTAGTTACAAAATTGACTTTCTAAGCAAAATAGATAAAATTATACAAATCACACATCCATATATTTTATGTGGGTGTTAAATGATTTATTACATGTACAGTGCTTCGTGAAATGCTTGACACAGAATAAAAGTGTAAACTATTATCATTATTATGATTTGTTCCATTAACTTTAGAATTCTACCAAAAGAAACGAAAAGGTGAATTACCAAATAAACTAATGTAGCATGGAAAATTGTGAATAAGAGACATTTTCCTTTAAGTAAAAAGTTGAACTGCGAACAGGAAAACAGTATTTGTCTAAGAGGTAACATTTATGGAGGAAGTAATTACTACTTCAAATATCTAAAGTCCCAGCAGCTCCAAAATAAGCTTTCCTAGTTTAGTGAAAATAAGTGTCATTTTTTTTTTCAAATGCCTGTGTTGGCTTAATATAAAGAAACAATTTTAAATTGCCTTTAAGATAAAATACAAATCCAAAATAGGACTCAAAAGAAAATAATATGAATTTTTAAATTATGAGTATGTTCAATTGTAAGAATATCTGGAGCACACCTATTACATGCCTTACAATAGGCCAGATAAAAGAGACTCAGAGAGCAATAAAACATATTCTTTGTCTTTAAACAGCTCAAATCCTATCAAAGAAGGATGTACATGAAAGCTGTGAGATGCAATGACATGCTGTGTAGACAGCTGGGGGACTGTATATATTGGGAACAGGAGAAACTAGCAACATACTCAAAATGCTATTTTGTACCATATTGAAAAAAAAAAAAAAACAAGGTCAAAAATAGCATGTGCCAACAAGCAAACTCAATGAAAGCTCTTTTCTCACAATGGGTAAAGAAGGTTGAAGTATAAAATTAAAATTCGGAACCCAGTGATCTTATTTTAACATATCCACATTAAGGAAAAAGATAAAAGCCTTTGGACAGTTTTTATTTGAAGGAATTTGATTTGAAGGTTTGAGAACCATTGAAACGGTGACTAGTGACTTTCTGAACATTGGGGCAGGCACAGAGTTGACTTATAAAAGTGGAAAGGAAAGTGAATTCCTTAACACATAAAGTGTGCATGTGCATTTATATGTATGCCCATGTGTGTGTATATGTGCACATATATATTATTATATATTATATAATTATATATAAACTATAATGTGATGCATTGTATAATATATAATATATATTTAAACATATTTATTTTATTTAATTTTTTGGACAGTGTTTGAGTTCTCCCCTCAGTATAGTACCTGTAGGTGAATTCACTTTTTTTTTTTTTTAAGATTTATTTATTTGTACATACAGAACTGGGGTACAGGCCAGAAGCTCAGGGGTGGCGAGAGGCTTCACCAGAGACAGAGTGGGGAGCAGAACAGGCAGATGGACGAAGTACACTGCTGAGGGGAGCAGCGGGCGGGTCAGGAGAGGTCTGCCACGCCATGTGGTCACCTCCAGGGCAGGCAGGAATTGAACTCATGCGGAAGTGGCTTTAGCTTCTCAGTGCTGTGCTTTAACCCGCTGCGCCACCAGGGAGGGCCTGAATTCACTTTTTAAAGATGTTTATTTTTAAGTTCATCGTTTAACCTCCTGCTATTATCGTGAAAATCAATTTCACTATGATATTTATTTCATGTTTATCTTTTGCTACCCATTCTTTCTCCTTTAAAGCATATATATTCAGTATAAAATCACTTTATAATTTATAACAATTTATACAACTCTGTGTGCAATTCTTCAGTCTTTTTTCACATGTTTATAAATTTGGCCAGTATATTTCCATTGACATATGAACATATTTTTTTAAGATTTATTTATTTATGTATACAAAACAGGGGCACGGGCCAGAGTGGTCAGAGGATTCACCAGAGAAAGAGCTGGGAGCAAAATAGGTGGATCCACTCGATACACTGTTGAGGAGTGCAGTGTGCAAGACAGAAGTCTGCTATGCCATGTGGGTCACCTCCCTGGCTGAGGATCAAACTCACACTGAAGAGGCTGTAGGTAGCTTCACAGTGCTGCACTTTAACCCACTGCATCACCAGGGAGGGCCCTGAAGTATGTACATATTTTTATAATACCCACCATTAGTAAAGTTTGGAATAGGAATCAAAAAAGTCAGTTTTCCCAGAACTTCATCCCTTAGAGTATTTCATGATGGAATCTCTCTCAGATGTTTCATGCTTTACCATACCAATTGACCATACTACTCACTCCACAGAGAAAGTTAAGAAAAACTAAATGAATTACTGAAAGAAACATTTTTCATATAACCTAATCAAGTATTTACCAAAAAGTTGTTTTCTTCTTTCAGGTATAGTACCCATAAAATTCCCACCACCACTTACCCATGAACCATCACCATAGTCCTTGTGCTCATCCCTCCCCTATTTTGATTCCTCTCCCTTCACCGCTCCTGTAGTTGCCTGTTAATTTTGATTTTTTAAAATTATATTTCCCCCAATCCCTTATTTGGTTGCCCTATATTCCTCCTATAAGTGAAACCATCTGTTATTTTTCCTTTTTATTCTGATTTATTTTACTGAGCATAATCCCTCCCAGCCCCATCCATGTTACTACAAATGGCATAAGTTTGTCTTTTATGGTGCTGAATAGTATTCCATTGTGTATATATCCCCCATCTTCTTGATTCACTCATCTAGTTTTGGGCATTTAGGTTATTTCCATATTTTAGCTGTTGTAAACATTCTACATAGTGCTACAGTAAGCATATGGGTGCAAGCATGCTTTTGAATTGACGTTTTTATGTCCTTTGGGTAGATCCCCGGGTGTAGAATTACTGGGGCATATGGTAGCTTTATTTTTAGTAATTTGAGGAAACTCCACACCATTTTAGTGGTTGGACCAGTTTACTTTCCCATTGGCAGTGAAGAAGAGTTCCTTTGTGTCCATATCCTCACCAGCATTTTTTGTTGCCAGTTTTTTGGGTTTTTTTTTTGTTTGTTTGTTTTTTTCTTAACATTTTATTTATTTATGCTTACAGAACTGGGGTAGAGACCAGAGATGTGGGGTTGAAAGGATTCACCAGAGACAGAGTGGGGAGCAAACAGACAGATGTACTGAAATAAACTGCTGAGGGGAGTAGCGAGCGGGTCAGGAGAGTTCTGCCATGCCATGTGGGTCAGCTTATTGGCGTAGGATCCAACTCATGCTTCAGTGGCTTCAGAGAGCTTCATAATGCAGTGCTTTAACAGGGTACACCACCAGGGAGAGCCCACCAGTTTTGTTTTTTTGTTTATTTGTTTGTTTGTTTTAATATGCTCCATTGTCACTGGTGTAAGGTTGATATTTCATTGTGGCTTTGATTTGCATTGCCCTGATTATAAGTGATGCTGAACGTTTTTTACATATACCTATCGGCCATTTGCATTTCCTCTTTGGAGAAGTGTCTTATTAGTTTTTCTGCCCATTTTTTCACTGGATTTTTTTACTGTGTTGAGTTGTATGAGCTCTTTGTAGATATTTAAGATTAGTCTCCTAACACTTGTGTGGAGTGCAAATATTTTCTCCAAGTCAGTAGGGTGGCTCTTTGTTTCATTTAATGATTCTTTTGCTGTACTGAAGCTTTTTAGTTTGAAGTAATCCCAGTTGTTTCTCTTTTCCTTCACTTTCCTTGCTTTGGAGATGTGTCTTTAAGGGTACTGCTGAGATGTATGTCATGTAGTATTTTGCCTGTATTTTCTTCTATTTTATGGCTTCAGATTTTATCTTCAGTTCTTTTTTTTTAGTTTTTATGCATGGTGTAAGGAAGTGTTGGGCAGTGTTAGGAAGTGTTGTTTTAATTCGTGTGTTTCCTTTTTTTTTTTTTAGCATTCCATTTTAAATTATTGTTTGAAAATAATTCTTGGACCATGGATAAGTTTTATTTTTTTGTTTTTTCTGCATGGTAATATTGGAGTGATGAATATTACCTATTTTGTGAGAGATTAAACAGAAATGTTCTGCTCAATTTCAAGGTTGGAGAATCGATGCTATGTCCTGGCAGTATGGTGGCTTAAAGGAGAGAAAATTAGTATCCTACAAAACCATACTAATCATCATGAACTAAATTTCAATTTTAATATTAAGCAGAATCATTCAATTCTAAAAACACCTACTTCTAATATCCAGCCATAATGAACTAACTCTCTGCTCTATAATGGCACCTTTTTACAGCCTGCTTACTTTTATTTCAGATTTATTTAATGTTACATTTGATTTGCTGCTGTGAAGTCTATTTTTAATGGTGACTAACTCCCACAAATATTTGGCTTTCCTTTTGTGTGGAAGGTCTCTGGGTTTCTAAGTGGCTATTTTTCAATAAGATTTATTCTTTTATGTTTATTTTTAGAATGGGACCAGTGAGTAATCTTCAAATTTTTCACAAATACTACATATATATGTAATATATATATGTATATATATACATATTTATGCACATATGATGATAAAAACTGAGGTTTAAAGTAGGTTTTTGAGATGCATTTCACGCAAAAAAATGAGAACGTTAACTGTTGAGTATCTACTAGCAAAAAATAATTTTTTTTTTCAGGGAAAAAGAGGCCTGTACTTGTCAAAAAAAAAAAACATCTATTTCTCTCCTATGCTCTTTGCTTCTTTGACTATCTCCAAAGATCTTTCATACACACACTTCTGCAAACAATCCATGTGCGTTCATTGTATCATTTTCTATAAAGGTCTTTGATTCCCTGTATAGCAATATACTGACATCACTTTGGCAAAGCTATTCAGTTTCTTCAGTTGTTCCATGAAAGATTTTTAAGCTGGACACTAAACCTTAGAAGTCTAGTTGTTACTTTTTCTTAAAGACACTTATAAGAGTAAGCGTTCATTAGATCACCACTAATCATACATTTATAAAGCATTAAGGGAGACCAAACCCTAGATAACAAAAAAACAGCATATTTTATTTGTGAAATAAATAGTCAGGAGAATAGGGAGAATTGCGCATTCTACTGTGTAGAATAATCAAGATCATCATTAAAAGTGATGTTAGCATATGTTTTTAATTTAGCCTAAATTCCCCTCCTACCCTCCAAAATTCCTCTAGTTGCCTTATGGTAGGGAATTCTAATAACAGTGATGAGACCCTCAATCACTGTGGCATGTTGGAACCACAACTAGACAGAGCAGCTTTGACTATATACTAAATGATCTAAAGGAATTTTGGAATACATTGGTGTTCATATCAGAATGTACTGTATGCTAGAGTTACAAAAATAACCCTTTTATAGAAGACATCAAAAATAGCAAAAAGCATTAACCTTTATTACCATTATTGCTACAGGGTAAAAAAGACAACTCCATCACAGTGGTAGTGGTAGTCCTGATTCCACAGATTAATTACACCCCTCATCTTCTCAAAATAGCAATGAGAAAGACGAGGGGGAAAACATCAGAGCATAAGAACAGACAGCATGGTACCAGCCTGCACAGCTAACTCCTTTCAAGAGTGGTTCAGAATAAATGCTCCTACAGGCTGCTAGAGAAAACCAAAAGAAAGCCTGAACAGTAATTCCTGATTAGTGGTTCATGAGCATTCCTAGATGACTTTGAAACAGAGGAGACTCAAGCAACCTGATCCTTTAACTGCTTTGACTAACAATTCCAAAAATGACATGATCAGTCCAACCTACTGCAGAAGAAAAAAAACCCTCTACGTGACCCTTGAAACACAAGTATTTCTATCTTTATATTAGCCCTTTAAGGAGGGACTTACATATCATCTGTTATCTTGTGCTATTCAGTGATGGGCACCAAAATTGAAAATAAACATCTAGATACTGGAGTTCAAATCCACATTTAAAGTATCACTTAAAGCTTAATTCATATGCCAAATTTTAGTGATACCTTTATTTTGTTTTACAGGTTATTATATATTATTGTTTTTGCTTAAATGGTTATTAATTTTTTAACAAATCTGATGATTTCCCATATTCTGTTCATAACACAAAATAGAGATGAAGTTTTGAGTTTTGTTTTGTTTGTTTTTTACTAACAGGAATTGCAAACATCCTCCCTTTTTACTAATCTCTTCGGGATAAAATAACAGATAACATATAAAATTGACTAGAATTTAAGTAATATTTCAGATATCACATGCAATAAGTGAAAAAACTAACGTAGTAAAAATGACACTGAATTTTTAAAGAAAATTTAGTCAATCTCTTTTGAAACACTGAAAAGTTAAATCAGTTCCATGTACCAGTAAACACAAACAAACAAAAAAAACCTTTGTACATTGTAATGCCTTTGAATATGTCAATTTAACTTTGACATAGCTAAGCAATAAAATTAAAGAGTGTGGATTTTTAAAGAAATATTTGTCTTTGTTCACTGAGGTCTTTGTTTTTAAGAAATAAAAATTAGACAAAATTTCTAGTCTTAAAAAAGCAAAAACTGAGTCACCAGAGAACTGGAAAAAGAGGAACTCATTCTGTGAATAAAATGAGATGTTTCTTAGAATTCTGCACTTGTAAAGCACAGAGGGTATTTCACATATCGGGATTTTAAAAAAATATAAAATAAATAGATAGGTAACTCATTAATCTGAGACTTTGAAAAAGAGAAACATTTTAAATAGGCATTTGTTTTTCTGTTTTAAACAAATTTAAGAATCTTTCATCCCTTGTGTTTAAAGGTACTGACATCTGTTTCCAATCCAATTACATGTTAATTTATGACAGTCTTGTTCGGGATGGGTTATTTGATCTCCCCCAATGACTTCCTCATATAAGTTTCTTTACTTTGAAACTAGGAGTTTTATTTTGCCAAGAGTAAATATAACCTGTACCCAGATACAGTGATCCTTAATATATACTAAACTTTGAGCACATAGTACTTAAATAATCATTTTGAGCTTGCAAAATTGGATCATTATCTTGTCTGTATTTACTATCTATGTGTGATAATCTAGTTGATTAAATGTCTAGAACAGAATCTCTAAAACCAAAAGAAAGATGGAAAAAAAGGAACACACATGAATGATGGGAAGGTTAGAACTAACTTGATTCTGTTAGAAAAGGAGACAATTTTCAAAAATCACCGCAACCTCAGGTTTGGTCATATGAATAGTTCTTTTGTATGTTATCATCATTACAATGAGAAAATTTTAGTTTTTCCATGTGTTGATGTTCCGTATTGAAACCAGCTCATATTTCCTTCCAAGAGAAATAACTTTCAGTTATTTCTGGGCAATGTAAAATGGGCAGCCAGCAGCATGCCACATCATAGCAACCAGAATATAATTCATAGCACTAAGCAGTAATAATAATCGGTAAGCCATTTTCAGTCCTCACTTCATTTCAAGCCTGCTTGTCTCAAAGCTCTAATTACATCTTCAATATGTTCCTATTTTTTCTACTTTTATGTGACTATTCAATTAGCAGTTCTATGAAGTTTACACAGGGCCTTCTTGACTATTTTTTGAACTGTCAACTACATACCAGATTTTTAAATGAGAAAATATAAACATCAACCAAGTATTTGAGTTTTCTGAAAATCATATGTCTAAACATTTGGACTTATGTAGTAAAAATATGAAAATAAGGGAATTGTTTACTCTTTATCTTTAGAGTATGCTAAGACTAGCAATGTTGAAAAATACCAATATTCTTGACTGTGCAGAGCATGTAATAAGCAGTAATTTATTAGTCTTTTTTTTAAGTCACTAGTTATATTCTTTAGTTTAGTGTTGGCATTATCACTTTTTAGTGATTTTCTATTCTTCCCAAAGTAACAATTTGCTATAATTCAGAATATTTCTGAATTAATAAACTCCTTAAAAAATTAACTGATATTCATGAAAATATCTTTCCTCTTTGCTATATATTGCTCTCTCCATTGCACTGTTCTGTTGATTCATCTCGAAGGCCCCATTGTTGTACAAATATCAAAGTAATTTGTTAAGTGGGCATTTATCAAATTAGCCGTATTATAAAATACAGAGACTCAGACAGACAGGCAACATTTACTGAATAAATCAGAATCGTCAAACTCTCTCCAGCACCACCAGCACTGCCTCCTCACACCTACCCTGGCAGACTCTTATTTTTATGTCTGTTATATATGGACCTTATGAATAAGATCTTCTTTGATCAAATCCATCACATACATTTTGTTTCAATTCTAGCTCAACAAATTATGAGGGCAAGGGAAATGTCTTGCGTCTTTTTTTTTTTAATGTGTTCAGGCAGTCTCTGATATAGGTCTATTTGATTTCCAAGTGTACCCCAGTGAGGCTGCTTCCTTAACTCCCCCAATGCTCTCGAAGGATAGTAATAACTACAGCTTCATCATCACTGAGTCCTGAACTCTGGAGGGACAGTGAGAAGCAAAAAAGGATGTGAGAGAACAGGTTCTAAATTATAGTTACTCCATGTAGCCCAAATCATTAATTTTAAATACAAAACAAATTCTAGACTTCAGAACACTAGGATGTAGACAAATACCTTTGCTTTTGACTAACTTTATTCCTACTGAGAATTAAAGAATTCTAAATAATAGATGGGCATTTAGAACTCAGGACTAGTAAATGTCCACTTAGAGATATATACTAAGGTGTTTTTTTTCTAAATATTTATTTATTTATTCATATAGAGCTGGGGTACAGGCCAGAGATGCAGAGGGTGAGAGGATTCACCAGAGACAGAGTGGGGAGTAGAACAGGCAGATCGATGAAGTACACTGCTGAGGGGAGCAGCGGGAGGGTCAGGAGTGGTCTGCCGCGCCATGTGGATCTCCTCCGGGGCAGACTGGGATCGAACTCATGCAGAAGTGGCTTTAGCTTCTTAGTGCTGTGCTTTAACCCGCTGCGCCACCGGGGAGGGCCAAGAGATATATACTAAGGTTTTAACTTTTCATTTGTAATGATGTGGCTATATCAGAACTGTGTGATCACTTCCCTGCATGTAACACCATTGTAGCTTTTTTCTACCTTAAATGCAATAGTGTATCTATAACACTGCCATGGGCAGAGCTACACATGTTTTGTCTGCACTTATACTATTCTCTTAGGTAGTTCCACAGATCAAAAAGGAATTGGAGGAAGGTAAAGATCACTGGGCCACATGTTGGAGTTATCTACTACATCTCTTACTTCCTTAATGTAGTCAATGTAGTCTTCGTATTTCAATTTGTGCAGGTCATTTTGATTTTCTACAACCTCTGGAAATACAAGAACAATTTTAGCTTCTCCTACTTAAGGTTTTTTTATACCTCTAGTCAGCCCTCTGAATGGTTCCTTTAATGGCAGATGTCACACATATCTGATCCATAACAAACACTGTCTTTTTCCCTGAAAGATCTATGTATCAGGATGATACTGATAAGTCACCTTTGGCTCATTAACTGATTAGGCCCGGTCAGGCTCCGGTGTCCCACGTGCTATCGTGACACATATCACCTGCTGTGTGGGTGAAGAGTTGCTCTGAAGTTCCTTTAACCAGTCATGAAATGAAAGCAGACACACTACTAATGCTTCTGTAAAGGGAAAGATGTCCATGAACTCATGGTACTCCCGTATCTCTCTCCAAAATCACCTGTTTCTGAATTATCTGATTCCTAAGCCTATTGCATTCTTCAGGAGAATGAGAAGTCCTCTAATACATTCTCTTCTTATATATATATATTTGCAATTTCTACCTTTTTTAGTCTATTTCACAACTCAGTTTGACATCAAATATGTTACCTTAGGATTAGGTCAAAACCTAATTTTAACTCCTAGCAGAGGGATCTACTTTCTGAGTTGTGATTATGAATGCCAAGGGTACCAGGCAAAAACATGAGGTACCCAAGGACCCCAGACTGTTAAGGGGAAAAACTTACATTGTCAGATCTAAGGGTAAGTGCCCACCCATGCACATAATACACACATAATAGTGAAGTAATCAAACTCTGATGTGCCAAAGATTTTTAATTGGTGAAAGACTCAGAATAAAGAGAGGGGGATAAAAAGTAGGGGGAGAGATTTCAAAAATCAGACTTCCAGTCTAACTCTGAAATGGTCAGCAAAACAAGCAGGGCCCAAGGTGGAGAATAGCAGAGCCAATGGCGCTGTCAAGAGCCAATGGCAAGATTGTACCGGGTCCAAAAAGCTGGGACAGAAGAAAAGAACCAAAGTTCAAAATATACTTCTCAACTTGAATCCACCACAAGTTCAAGATGGCAACTGCCACAATCTCTTCAAGAGAATGAGAGCTTGCCACCCACCAAAACACCAAGGCTGGAAAAGAAATGGCGGAATGATGTATTTTCAGTATTTTGTATCCAACATGGTCACTCACCTCTGCCCCTAGTCCCTAGCAACAACGCCCAGTCAGGAAGTCAAGACAGCCAGTGGGGAGCTGTAATGCTGGGTGCTGATTATAGGCGGGTGCTGTTCAGGACATCCAGGGACACCAGCGAGTCCTGTTCCCGGCTCCCTAGTCTGCACTGGCTGCT